TTGAAGTGTGTGTCTATGTGTGTATATGTTTTAGATATAAAGGTGGCTATGCGTAAGGGGGCGGAGCTATGGCACAGGTGAGTGAGCACTGTGATATCAGTTGACCTTCAATTATTCAGAGAGCAAACAGCTTGATGAACACAGTGAGGTGTTTGTTAACCACCAACACCTGAGACGCACACGAGTATGACCACACTGACTTGGTGTGGTCTGAACCTAACCCTGAGTGTGGTGCTCCAGAGAACCCCGCCCCCCTTCACATGCACATAAAAAAACAAAGGTAAATACCAAGTCAATAACGGCAGAAGTCCATCAGGCCCCTGTCTCCCCTTGGTGTCCTCATGAGACTCAGACCCTGCTCAGGGCCCACCGAGCCCACAGCCGGAGAGCAGTCCTCACACCAGGCGGAGCAGGGTGTCAGTCCTCCAGGTGGGCGACCTTGGATAAACATTTAAATCACTCTACTGATTTTCTCCCTCAGTGTGTTTCCAGATGGTGCATGGGGAATCATGTTTTCTGACCGTCTGTCCCGTTCTCGCTCTGCGGCGGTTAATCCAACCTTTATTACAGTTGAAGGTACTTCCTTCGGATGCCTGGGTATATAGCTTGATGAAAAGTTGGCTTTCCATGTGCACATTGATTAAAAACTACTGAAAGAAAACTGTGCGAGGCTCACTTGTATCTGTACTAGTCTATGGTGATGTGACCTACATGCCTGTACAAACTGGATTCTGCATATCTTGCTGCATTACACTTTGTAACAAGTACAGACACTTCATACGAGTCTCGAGGACGGTCTTCCCTAAACCAGAGGAGCAAAATGCATATGTTGTGTTTTACTGTTTGAGCATTAGTAGGCAACCTACCTGCCTGTATCTCCGGCCTTTTGTCCTAACATACCAGCGGCTATAGCCACTGGGATTCTATTAAATGTCCCAGAAAGAACTCTGAGTTTGATAAAACAGCTTCCTCCTCTCATGCACCCTGGCCTGGAATGGGCTGTACAACACCGTTACTTTAGAAACACTCTCTTCTCTGAACATCTTTAAAGGTCTCGTACAAACTGCCCTGAGGAAAACATGGTGATCATCTGTGAAGCTGAATAGCGGTGTGGCCCATTTCCCCTTGCCTTTGTATTGTATATGCTTTTTAACTTGTGAAACTGTTTGTGCTGCCATCTTCACCAGGATCCCCTGAAGAGATCACGTATGTCAGTGGGAGCTTCCTAATTAAGGACAAATAAAAGCATACAAAATAAATTCTTGTGAACGTGGTATCTCGAACACCCGGAGACAACTTCTTCACATCTGGCACAAACCGCTTGGACTCAAAGATGACCAGGTTAGAATTTATAGGTCACAAAACACGTTAATGTCTAATAGAATAAACTGATGAAGTGGTGAAATTTTCTATCCAAGTATCAAAGGTCAGCTTCACTGTGACATCATAATGTTCTGCACAGAGACCTTTCTGGCCCCCATTCAGTGCCATAACTCAGGAGCAGAAGGGGACGAGGTCAGACACTGAACTGGTGACACAAATCGTGGGTGTCCACCTGCAGAAGATGCTGAGAAACTCACTGGGACTCAGCCAGACACCTGCACACTGCACTCAGAGATCAATCAGTAGAGCCCATCACCTGCTTCAGCTTTGGCCCTCAGGTAGGAGAGTGAGTGGCTCAAACTGATTTTAATGGTACTTACAGGGACAATACGGGTACTACAGTCTACTACACCTAGACCTACTACTACTACTAGCTGCCCTACTGCCCAGAGAAATGCGTTGAGACAGTGACACCGTGTGGCCAAAAGTCTGTGGTCGTGGCTACGTTCATGTCAGAGGTTACAGAGGCTCTTTATTTGCTTCAAATGGTCAGCATGAAAAAGGTTGGAACATTTGACCAGATTACAGTTTCGTAGAGTCAAGAGGCTTCGGAAAGACGTTTTATTATTATTCTTTTGGCTTTTACAGACTTTGAAATACATTGAGACTTCTTAAGACGGTTTCGTCTTTAAGCTCGGAGCCAGTAAAAGAGACTCTGACTCTCTACTGCTGCTCTGTGTGTCCCAGTGAAACTTCATGGGAAGGTGTGTCTGTGGAACTAAACACTGAGCAGCTTGTTTGCATTGCCCGCATCAGATCTCTGTAATATTCCTCTGATAAACTGCCCCAAGCCTCTGGCTCTGTTGACCCAGCAAACTGGTCCTAATCCGTGTGTGCAGGCTGTCCATATACTTTTGGCCGCGCAGTTCATTTGTGGGGGGTGTTAATCTTTCCGTTTTAACATTTGCTTCGTGCGTGTTCCAATTTCCTTAAACCCAGCCTGCCAGCGACATGCAAACCCAGCAGGTCTGCAGCAGCCACAGACCATACAGTCAGAGATCCGGCTCCTCCTCCTCCTGGGCGGAGGTCTGACACTGAAAATCTGCTCTGAGGAAAACTTTGTTGTCGACAAGCTGCGAAGTCTTTTTCTCTCCAACTCTTCTCCCTCTGGTTTTTCTCATTCTCCTCCATCATGTCCGGCGTCGCGGTAACTCTGGCCAAGAAGCGCGCCATAGCCGCGGGCTTCGGCACCAACGCCAACGCGATACCGTACCTGAACCAGGACTTCGCGTCTCTGCGGGCGCAGTGCCTCTCCTCCGGACAGCTGTTCTGCGACCCGACTTTCCCTGCTGCACCCGAGTCCCTGGGCTTCAAAGAGCTGGGCCGGAACTCCCCCAAGACCCGCGGAGTCACCTGGAAGAGGCCCACGGTAAGATCCCGGCCCTGGTTCGGGTTCTGGGCGGGGTGGTTTGTTGACAGAATACCTGAGGGAAGTTATACCTGTGCTGCTGCGCCTTGACGGAAAACGCAGATCTGGGATCTGTTGCTGAGAGAAATATCAAACAGTAACAGAAGCAGTATTGGGAAAAGTACTACTGCGGTAATGGTGGTAATGCCACAGTGTAAAGTACTGTGTTACCAGGAAAAGTCCTACATTCAAAATGCTACTTAAATAAAAGTACTAAAGTATCAGCCTCCAAATCTACTTGAAGTACCATCAGTACCAGTACTGGTCCTGCAGAACGGCCCGTGTCCCAGTAACGTCTCTGATACTGGATCATAGTGACTAATTACTGTGTCCATCACTTTAATGCTGCAGCTGGTAAAGGTGGAGCTGATGGTAACTACCTTATATACTTATACTGGGAAGTACTTTCCATCCTGCTGGGTAGCTGGTGGATTTCCTACTGGGATCAATAGAGTCTGATGGTTCTACTGGGTTTGGTTTGATTCATCTGATTCTGGACCTGAAGGTATCAGGTACATGTAGTGTAGTAAAAAGTACACGGTTTGTCTCTGACATGGAGTGAAGTCACAGTATTACTATGGAAATTTTCAGGTACAAATACCTCATAGTTGTACTTCAGTACTGTAGTAAATGTACTTTCCAGCAGCAATATGAAACCTAAGGAGAAATGCAAAGCCGGCAGACCAACGTGTCTGATATGAAGACTGTACAGTCCAGTATAGACGACGTGCGCAGTCACAGAACAGAGCCGAGCGCTGACGAGTCTTCCTGTGTTGTTTGACTGGATGATGACAGGGTCGGACGTCCGTGCACAGCACCAGCATACACGTCTTTGGGAACACAATACCCGGTGCGTCACGACTGTGAGAAACCATAAATACCAGAGAGGTGACTCACACACACACGCCTCACACGCTCGCTGTACTGTACAAACATGATGGGATTTATCTCTCTCTCTTCATGTTTTGGTCTTCTGTACTTGTGAGGACCCTCATTCACTTCACGTCTCCTGCAGCATGAAGAGCAGACGAAGTGTCACCACTGTGAGACTAACTGGTTTCTAGTGCTGAGGAGGACACCGACTCTGACCTGAACCTTAAACAAGTCTGGTCTAAGGTCTCATCACTTGTGTTGGTGGGACCTGATTCCTGTCCCCAGAAGGCAGCAGAGTCTCTGCAAAGAATGCGTGAAGGCTAAAGGTCTCTGCAAGTATGTCCCTGATGACTCACACTCTCAGATGTGAGCATCCTCATGCACAAGTCTTTTCTGAAGCAGGAAGTGGAGGCCAGGGACTGTAACACAACATTTGTTTGTCAGTTTGGGCAAAAGCTTCTGACAAGTGAACAAATGTTTAAGAAGTTCACAGACTGGAGTCAGACTGTAGCTTATAGCCTGAAGAAGAAGAAAACAGAACAGACCCCAGTGGCTGCAAGGTTCTACACTGAAGCTGAAAGAAACCATGCAGTGATGGTGCACAGATGTTTGTACAGAAGAAGATTATGATTAGATATCATGGGGGACGTCACAGCTGCTTTGAAGTCGGCAAAAAAGCTGCAGAACGTGTGATATACACCCCCCGTTTATCTCCGCTAAAACTGTCCGAAGCGCCAGGACTGAGCCTGCACTGCTGAAACTGCATCTAGACCAAACTGTACCTAAGAACCTAATGATGGATAGGCCCCGGGCCCCCGGGAGCCAGCGTCCCCCAGGCCTGAGTCTCATTGGAATGAGGTGGTATTGACCAATGTTTTTTAACAGTCACAGTCCCATTGCAGCTGATGTTCTTCCTAGATTTTTAAATGACGTTTGCACAGAGCACCCTGAGGCTGCAGCACGTATACATGTGAATGAACTAAGTTATTGAATTATGTTTAGCAGCTGCTGCTTTAGGACGATAAAACATTTAGTTTTTTGTGATGCTGCTAGACAAGCTCAGGCTTTGTTAGAGTTCTGTGAACACAGAAGGTCTCAGGTGAGCGGGCAGGTGCAGGAACAGGTTGGCTGGTAAGACTGGGAGTGTTCAGCATGGATTACTGGTCCACAAAACATGATCTGCAAACACTGTGGGGAAGGGCAGATACATATGCACAACAGGGAACTGGTGAGCACGTCAGTGTGGCAGCCAGGTGAGCCATGTCATCCAGTAGATACTGAGATGCAGCTTCAGGTTGTACACCTGCAGAATGACACAAAACGACCCCCAACAGCAGATTCATCTGGGCTGCAGTTGTACAGGGGGGTGTTCGTCGTACGTCGCTTCCTGCTCCGAGACACTTAAACTCTGTCAAGTTGTCTTGTTTGCAATGAATCAGCCTGAGAAGAAACCTGTTCCTGAGCAGGATTGAGCTTACAGGCTTGTTGCCATGACAACAAGTCCCACGAGCCTTTTGAAGAACCAACAGATCCAGGATAATAAGAGATTGTAAATAAAATCATCTGGCTAACCTGTTAATCCATGTCCCGGTCTGGTCTGATCTCTGTTGTCCTCCTCCAGCAACTGGTCTCAAAGCCTGAGTTCATCGTGGGCGGAGCCACCAGGACCGACATCTGCCAGGGAGCCCTGGGTGAGTGTTTCCCTACTGCCCCCGAATACCTCGCAGTGTGTCGGTTTCACAGTGAGTCACCCATGTGCAGACAGGTAGACAGGGGTCAGGGGAGTGTGTGTGAACACACCCTGAGGTCAAAGGTCACCGCTCTGGCCCAACAGGTGGGTTTTCAACCTGTGTGGGGACAAACTCATGAGTGAGTCGATACAGGACCTGGTTCAGGGGAAACACAAGATGTGATCCATTAAATAAATCATTAACTGATAACTCAGATCAGCCGGCTGGTTCATTCATTGATTATTAGTCCTGCTAATTCATATTTGATCTGTTATGTCTAGTGAAAAGGTTCCTGTATATTGTGAACATGTGTTCTTCTGTTCTGCATGTTGTCTTTCTGCTCCAGAGTGCTGCTAGCTGCTTTTAGTTAATGATAAGACACATCGTACATGTATGTAGAAAAAACATCAGTGTTTTTGTAAATGAACCTTTGTACAGAAGAATGAATTTGTAATGTCTCATTAAATGTGTAACAGATGTTTGTTTTCCTTGCAGCTCGTACTTGTCAGGTAACGTCTGTAGAAACTGATTATTTTTCATCCTCAGCTCGGTTGCTCCTGCGCTGCAGGGTGGGGTCGTGTTTGCACGTGTGATTATTAGAGGAAAGATTCCGATCAGACTAGTTCATTTAGAAGAGAAATGTAAGCCCAGCCCTGAGGCCGCTGCGCATTTCATCAGCCTGAAGAAGAAACATTTAAACTGTCATTTCACACGTGGACACGGAGCCAGTGTTTGTTGAACACCATGATGTCACTGTGCTGCTTTGGGCAGTAAGCACAAGACAAATGGCTTCCACTGACTCTGAGCAGCAGGTCAGACTGGTCGTACTGGTCAGCTTCTGGGTGTGAGTGTGGTTCCTATGCAACACCCCTCCCACACAAGTCAAGTTTAAACTAGAACTCCTGCCTCATGGTTGTATGCCTCCACCAGCCAGTCAAGTTCACGGGAGTGGGACAGACATGAGGTCACTGTGACCTTGACCTTTGACCTGTGACCACCAGAATCTAACAAACTCATTCTTGAGCCCAAGAGGCCGTTTGTGCCAGATTTGAAGAAACATATCAGAAGAGGTGAAAGACTGGCTGAGGCCTGGCCCTATAGGGGTCATGACCTTTGTACAGGTCACAGTCACTGCTCAGGTTTTTCTGTTCTTTAAGTTAAGTTAAGAAATAAAAACCCTGTGAAGAAAGGCTTGTTTGTTTTGCTGCAGGGTTGGATTTAATTTCTATTGCAGAATCTCCTAAATAAATATTTGTGCATCAGTCTGCACAGAGCTGGCAGATCTGTGCAGACTGATCCTGGGTCTGCTGTGATTACAGGGCGCTGCCATGCCGAGCCCTGATTGGCTGAGCAGGACAGGAAGAGGCCTACCAGCCATTGTTAGAGGGCAAGAGACTCAGGCATCCGAGAGAGGGGGTATGAGCTGTCAGCCCGTGAGGACACACCCTCACACAGTAACACACACCCTACCAGTGTTGTGTGTGTGTGTGTGTGTGTGTGCTGTGATGCGGCAGTGAGTCAGTGGCGTGTTGTGCCTCTGCTAAACCACAGAAGTCTGACTTTCTGTTTGAGTCTGTTGTTGTGTAAGACAGTGAAGCCGGGTTTTCACATTAGAAACACCAGAGTTCAGCTTCGCCAGTTTCGATGCAGACGGAGACCTCTCATTAGCTGACGTGATCAGTGGACATTAGTGGTGACAGAGAGTTTGTGGCTGCTGCTGAATGTTTCCTCAGGAACCACATTCGACTCATGAAACTAAACGTCTTGGGACGTTGTCTGACCTTCACCCAGGCTCACAGCTTCACTCTTGACTCCCAGTTCGGGTCCTCTGCAGACACTTACAGTGGTTTTCTGTCCCAGCACGAAGCTTCGGCATCCAGAGCTGTGCACAGTCTAAACACTCTACATTTGGAACTAGATGGTTCACTGTACATATAAAGAAGCTTTTAGAGAATCTAGTGAACTTGCCTCTGTGTAGAAGGCATTATTCTACAGGATGCCACCAAGGGCTTGCTGAGTCTGAGTGCAGGAGGGAGGGGCAGGATTCAGGTTGGCTTCAGCGTTGGTGTTCTTTTCACTGGTCAGAAGTGGCCGAGGCTCAGACAAAGCTTAGGTCACATGACTCTGTGCCCCATTCACAACTGACCGGTGTCTCAGTCAGTATAAAGACTGATGTCACCAGCACATTCCTGTGTGTGTGTGTGTGTGTTTCCTGTCTACCTCTGCACAGGAATACTGGGCATATCACTGGTTTACACACATAATCAGCTCATTTAGCTCTCGCTGTGGTCGCTTGGTTCCTGCCACAGTGTTGCTGTTTATGTTGCTACGCAACATTGAGATAAACAGGAAGTGGTCCTCTTCCTCTGTTAGCTGACGTGAACATCCACACTCTCAAATATGATTCACATGGTCCTCAGTGTGAATCTGTTTATCACCCGTTTATGTGGTTGTGTTTACACAAATGACTGCAGCTCCAGTGTCTTCAGCCGAGGCTCAGCTCATGTAGAGCAGCTAACACACACTGTGCATCACAGGTCTGTCCAGCTGTGCCAGCATGTTGATGTTACTGTAGTGCTGCCCTCAGGATAAATGAAACTCTGAGCCCATACACCTTCAGGGTGCTGTCTGTAGTGAGCTCTGTGGCCTTTAGGGGGCGCTGGAAAGGCTTTGTTTCAGTTTTACCTCTTGTCTGTCCAGGTGACTGCTGGCTGTTGGCAGCCATCGCCTCGCTGACCCTGAACGAATACGTGATGGCCAGAGTGGTTCCTACCGACCAGGGCTTTGGTAGCGACTATGCTGGCATCTTCCACTTCCAGGTAACGGAAATGTGAGAATGAAAGTCAAACAACGTGTAAACCTAAGGGTGTCTGCCACTTTATTATTTGTCTGTCAGCTGATTGTGTGGTACCAACAGTGTAGTATAAACCCAAGCGTGTGTAGCAAGGTGTCTAGAAACAACCCGTGGACGGCCTGTACCTGTAACCTGCACACACAGGCGAAGGCCAGTGCTGGCTGGGTGAGAAAAAGAACAGATGCAGGTGTGTCCCCAGGTGGAGGTTCTCACTGTGCTGCAGAAGGATGAGCACAGAAGCCAAGTTTTTTGTTAGAAACATTTGAGCTGAGCAAAGAGCAGCCTTGAAGAGAGAATCACATCTTGCTGTCTCCTCTCTTCAGCTCTGGCAGTTCGGGGAGTGGGTGGACGTGGTGATCGATGACCAGCTGCCGGCCAAAGACGGAGAGCTGCTGTTTGTCCACTCGGCTGAGGGGAGGGAGTTCTGGAGTGCCCTGCTGGAGAAGGCCTACGCCAAGTAAGATCAGCACCCCGACAAGCTCCTGGCAGGGTGAATACCAGGGCCTGACCATGGGGAGGGCCCTCACACAGCCGGGAATCGAACATAGTTTGTTCCAAAAATGTGGTCATGAAATGAGACTGGTGAGCTGTGAAGCACTGGGGTCATGTCTAAAGAAAAAAGTAAAATCGGGCCCCAAATGAAAAATGAGAGGAATGTAGGCAGCACACACCAAGCTGTAGTCGCAGTATGGTTGATTAGCACGTGTAGGTGGACAGCCAACACTGTGACAGTGACCCCGTGTTTCACATGAGCTGCAGGCAAACCCTAACCTGCTCAGGATGCCGAGCTAGGAAAGGTGCTCACCTCATGTCAGGTATTTTCTGCAGTTTGGTCTGAGACATTTTCAATAACACAAACAAAGAAAGTCACTTTCGGTTTTTCCTGTTTAGGGGTCGCCACAGCGAATCGTCACACTGACGACTCGCATGTTGACATTTGGCACGTTTTACGCCGGATGCCCTTCCTGACACAACCCTGATTCTAACCCGGGCCGCAGCGGCGAGAGCGCTGTTGCCTTAACCACTAGCCTACCAAGAACGGCTACATTTTCAATAACACAACGTATCGGCTTAATCCAGAACTACAGTGAAACCCAATGGGTTTACTGTGGTGTTTTCATCAGTTCCACTGGCTGAAATAAACAACTTCAGAACAGTTCAGTACCTTGGACCAAGTGTCCCGAGTTAAAGCCGGTCGATCGGTCTGCTAGTGACGGCACCGTCCGACACTGTGGGGGCTCCGTGCACGGTCCAGAGGGGGAAGGCTCTCCACGTTTGTGTTAGAGGTCTAATGAAGGCCTGACATAATGCGACAGAATTGACCATCACAGCATATGGAGGAGAGTATGCAGCAGGCCACAGAGGGAGGCCGATAGCCTTTTGTTCTTTTGTGGCTGTGATCAGGAGTGGCACCGCAGTTGCACGCAACATGGGAACACAGTAAAAGTCTGACAGTGCAGAATTGTTTCCTATTCCACGTGGGTCTGTCCAACCTGCTGGGCTTGTTTCCCACCTGCAGGCGACTCATGTTTCTGAGCTGCATTAGTGATGTGTGTTAACCAGACACAATAGTCTCCCTCTCATTAGGAACACTGCGTTAAGGTTAATGTGCCCTCTTGTCCTTGAATGTGACCTAACCAGTTGTGGAGCGGTGTGCAGCCACAGCAGAGCCCCACCTTTGAGACCGGGGCTTTAATTCACTTCACTCCTTCCACTTGAGGTCGTGTTCACGTCAGCTGGTTTCTTGTTAGGAGGGAAGAGTAATTACCTCTGCCAGAGGCAGGGTTTGTGTTTTTGCCAATATTTGTTGGTTTGATTTTTAATGCAAGGCAAGTTTATGAAATGTTTTGCAGTGATAGGTTACGGTCCACAGAATAGTCGGTTACATGTTGGCACTGATCTGAATCACTTTGGATACAGGACATTTTAAAAACCCTCCTTCACCATGTGAGTGTTGGAAAGGCTGTTGACAGTATGTGAGCCCCCTTGTGGCCAACGTGCGCAGCTGCATTGCTTCTCTTATGTTACCTACTCACACATTATAATGTCCTCATAAGACTGATCATAAAATAAATGAATTGTTGCTAATGAGCCTTGGTGCAGCTGATGAAAAGACCTGGTGAGAAGGTGACAAAGCAGCTGGGTTTGTACTGGAGCTAACTCTGCCCTGCGACATTCACATCCACAACCCGACATGATGCAGCCATGAACAGACCGGGTCCATTCTCTTTGAGCCGCTCACTTCTCTTATAATGAGGGTTAGGGGTGGGGTAACCCCTAACCACAGGGTGACGCGGCTCATCAGTAGAGCCTGAAACACTGGAGGCTATCAGCGCTCTACTCATTAGGAAAAGGGCTTTTCTCACCAGTTTGCTGGTGAGTACATGTTTTGGCAGAGGTGGAAAGTAATCAAGGGCATTACTTAAGTATTGTACATAAGTACAACTTTAAGTGAGTACTTTACTTGAGTATTTCCATGCCCTTCTACTTCATCCTGTGACTTCACTCCATGTCAGAGACAACTGAAGACTGAAGTACAACTATGAGGTATTTGTACCTGAAAATTTCCATAGTAATACTGTGACTTCACTCCATGTCAGTGACAGACCATGTACTTTTTACTACACTACATGTACCTGATAACGTCAGGGCCAGAATCAGATGAATCAAACCAAACCCAGTAGAACCATCAGACTCTATTGATCCCAGTAGGAAATCCACCAGCTACCCAGCAGGATGTAAAGTACTTCCCAGTATAAGTATATAAGGTAGTTACCATCAGCTCCACCTTTACCAGCTGCAGCATTAAAGTGATGGACACAGTAATTAGTCACTATGATCCAGTATCAGAGACGTTACTGGGACACGGGCCGTTCTGCAGGACGAGTACTGGTACTGCTGGTACTTCAAGTAGATTTTGATGCCCATACATTTGTACTTAAGTAACATTCTGAATGGAGGATTTGTAACAGTATTTTACACTGTGGTACTCAGGATGGCATCTGTCCTGTGCACTTCTCAGTTTTAGTTCCTTTAAATTTTAATGAGGATCTTTTGGTGCTACAGTCACTGGTACAGTGACAAATCGTGGCTACGTCTGGCACACTTGCACCTGATGTTGAACTGGGTGGATCTAAATGGCAGCATTTGTTTGAAGTGCGTTCAGTGGTCTTTCATCAAAATGTCTTGAGGCACCTACAGCATGTATCAGGATCTGGGGCAGTTTCTTTATGGCTGTGAAACTCACCTCTGACTGAAGCTAGGCTCTCACAGGCACCGGTATAGAGATATAATCTTGCCTGCAAAGTATCGACATTCTGTTTTTGGAGACTTTCTCAAACAGTGTTGACAGTTTCCCTGTATCACTGTGTGGACAAGCAACCCGTTTCCATGCTGCATTTCAGTTCCTCATCCTCAATGCTCTTATGTTGCCTTTTACAGTATGTCAGTTTGCCCAAAGCTCTCTGATAGCCTACATCATAAAAGAACAACATAGGAATCAGTAAAACATTTGAATGTTTATTTTTACCTCTAAATTGGCCCTGAAAATGGAGTTACTGTTGTCTAGGGTCTATATGTCATTTTAATTGTATTTATATGGCTGGATTATCCTAATTGTTGGAAGGCGGGGCCCTTGGACTGTGGGGGTCGCCCTCCTTTGGGGGGGCTGCAGGGGTATACTTTGCAGCAGAGATAAACATAGCTGTGCACTCTATTACTGACGATTGGTGACTTTCTCATGCATCTTTGGCCAGAGGACATGGATTCAGTGTTTGAGCACTGAGTGGTCACTTGTTTACCCTTTCCACATCCCGTATCTGTTCTTGCTGAACAGTACAGGACTGTATCATCTGCATACACACGGAGTCAGCATGTAGTCACATTCAGCTCCATTAGATGGTTTGCTGTACTGGATGTAGTCTGAAATTCAGCCTGCTGTTCTCTGTGTTTGCTTGGCAGAGTGAACGGCTGCTACGAGGCTCTGTCTGGTGGTTCCACCACCGAGGGCTTTGAGGATTTCACCGGAGGCATCGCGGAGAGCTACGACCTCCAGCGGCCTCCGTCCAACATGTTCCAGATCATCAAGAAAGCTCTGGAGGCTGGAGCGCTGCTGGGTTGCTCCATTGATGTGAGTCTGGGGGAAAACACAGTTTTCTTTATTATTATGCTCATTAACATGTTCTCTAGTCTGAGCTTTTAATTTCCAGGTAAGCAGCGTTTGTTGTGTTTCTACTTACGTTTTAAATCTAATTACTTAACAGAACCTTGTATATGAAGCAAATCGGCTTAAGACTACAGTTTTGTGGTGATTATGATACAGATTTGTCCTAATGAACATTGGTTCAGCCAGTAGCTATTGTCTAATGTTATTTATGTACAGCTCTGAAAAGCCAGCAAACACACCACATCTAAATAAGTCGCAAAGCTCGGTTCTGTAAACAGAAATTAGAGCTTAGTCTGATGCAGTTCGGCTCTAAACTGAGGCTCTTTTCTCACTGTTGGAAACTGGTCCCTCCTCCTGCTCTGAGGTCAAGCAAGTAAAGAAAAGGTATCTGCTGTACTTCGTTGCCTTGTACATGTGTAATGACAATAAAGTTGAATCTAATCTAGTGAGCATGAAAACCATCCACAGAGATGGAAACCAGGAAGAGGAGACGAGATCAAAATAAAAGTCTTGGCTTCATCTTTAGAGATTCATCTGAGGAAAAGTTTAATTTGACAGATGTTTATTTTACTCTTGGTGATGGGGGTGAGGGTGATGATCTGTCTGTTGCTGTCTTGGTGCAGATCACCAGCGCTGCAGACTCGGAGGCCATCACGCGTCAGAAGCTGGTGAAAGGCCACGCCTACTCGCTGACGGGTGCTGTGGAGGTAACTTCACACCTTAAAATGAAAGAAGACAAAGCCGTGTAGAACAAGAGGAGCGTCAGATATCTTTTGTTTTGTTTGTAGGTGAAGTACCGGGGTCGACAGGAGAAGCTGGTGAGGGTGAGGAACCCCTGGGGTCAGGTGGAGTGGACCGGAGCTTGGAGCGACGGGTAACTAAGACGGACATGAACACAGCTACACACTGGGAAATGACAAACACACACACATATACCGGTGAACCTGAACTAGATCCCTGTTTTTACTGTACTTTTAAGTGCTTTTTACTAAGCGCATTTCTAGGATTTCTTGTAAAGTGCTGCACAGAGTCTACTCTGTTGTCATGTTACTGTGTTTGTGCAGGTCGTCTGAGTGGAACGACATGCAGGGAGACTGTCCACAAGCCAACGCAGAGGACGGAGAGTTCTGGTAAGTGAATACCACCACAGATGTACACCATATTGCTCCATCAGGTCAGAAGGTTGGGACTGGTCTTTAGGAGGTCAAAGGTCACGTGGTGGCTGTGGCTGCAGAGTGAGAGCTCCTCTCTGTCCTGTCTTTGCAGGATGTCCTTCAGCGACTTCCAGCGTCAGTACTCTCGTATTGAGTTGTGCACTCTGACCCCCGACGCCATCGAAAATGACTCAGTCAAACCCTGGAGTGTCAGCAAGTTCAATGGCACCTGGAGGAGAGGCTCCACCGCTGGAGGCTGCAGGAATCATCCCTGTTAGTACTGAAACCACTTAAAGCAGCAGCCTGTCAGTAGCTGTAGTGAGTTGTTGATGAAAGGCACATATACTGTCTCCAAAGTTCAGACAGAATCAACAAGTAGGAAGCATCTTAGCTGAAAGAACCCGAGCTTTGATCAAGGCTGATCCCATCTGATTAGACCTTCACTGCTATGGGGAGGGTTTGTTCTGTGAAGCTTTGCGAGGGTGTGGCTGTGGCTCATTTAAAGCAGATTGTGATGGTGGAGTGATGGAGCTGCAGTCAGGGGATGTTCCTGATGCAACTGAAGCTGTTTTCCTCTGCAGACACCTTCTGGATGGATCCTCAGTATGTGATCAAACTGGATGAGGAAGACGATGACCCAGATGATAACAAGGTGGGCTGCAGCTTTGTGGTCGGGCTGATCCAGAAGAACCGCAGAAAGCTGCGGAAACAAGGAGAGGATATGCTCACCATCGGTTTCGCCATCTATGAGGTGAGCTTGAAGAGTCTGCTTCAAGTCTAAGATCAGGATAGGGAGACTGACTTCCTACAGCTTAACAGGTTCATCCATGAACCCACACTGACCCTTTTCTGTCTTCTGTTTTATTTCAGCTTCCACAGCAGGTGAGCACTCAGCTCGTGACATTGTCAGGTTCAAGATCAAAAGCTGAAGAACACCTTGCTATTTGGCCTTCAGACCCACCCAGGACACTTCAGGATCTTGTAGTTTTTAAAAGTGTTGTTTTCTTGAGCTTCATTGTCGGTAAACAGGATTCAGGAGACAAACGAGAAGCAAACATGGATGATGTGACCTTGCTGTTCCTATTCTGTGAGAGGTAGTGATACTTTGAGTAGCCTAGGTGTAGTGAAGTCAGACATTTCCTGTCGTCAGTCACTGCATGTCAGCATCCCTGTCAATTTCAGTGCTGTTAATTGGCGTAGAGGGGACGATTTGTCTGTCCAGAGGGTTTGAAAAGTATCACAGGTCACCCAAAATCAGCTGTGAAAAACCAGCCAGTCTGGCGACACAGCTGTCATGTAGCACATGCTGTAATGCAACTTGGGCACAAAATAAATCATCCTTTCACGTCTCTGCAAGCTGATTTTTATATAAATGAAAAAAGCCTGGAGGAATTCAGCTGGTCTAAACCATGATACTCAGCAGGGATGGAACCGGTCAAACATCTGTAGTTAATGGTGTGAAAATAAAAAAAACGTGGTCTTTGAAATGCTAGAAGCTCTGCGTCATTGAGTCTGAGACTTCTACAAATGATCAGAGCTGCACCAGCTACCCACTTGCCCTGTCCTCACCGGCTGTCTCCCCCTGCAGTTCCACGGCCAGAGGGATGTGCATCTGGATAAGAACTTCTTCCTGACCCATGCTCAGAAGGCAAAGTCAGAGACCTTCATCAACCTGCGCGAGGTCAGCACTCGCTTCAAACTGCCGCCTGGAGAGTACCTGATCGTCCCGTCCACCTTTGACCCGAACCTCAATGGAGACTTCTGCATCCGGCTGTTCTCTGAGAAGCAAACCGAGACCCTGTAAGAGCCTGGTGATGTTTGGGGGAGGGGTAAAGGAGGAATATATGACAGCAGCCTCTCTTTCTTTGTTAGTCAGTCCTGACAGTCGTTGAACTAGAAATCCAAAGAATGGACCCTGTTTGGGCCCTGGTCCTGTCCACCCTGCCTGTAGGGCCTCTGTGGTCCCTCCAGTGTATCTGAATAGAGGTTTTGAGACCTGGACTGAAGGTTTACTGTTTACTGAGGACATGGTGAGAACAGAAAAGGTTTCTGTTTGCAGGCTGGCTGTCCACACTTAGGAAACTGTGTGTTACTGGACTTGTGCTGTGTATGGTCCACTGTTGTCTAACATGTTTTTCTGTGTCCTGTCAGACCCTGTGACGACCCGGTCAAGGCTGACATTGATGATGTAAGTCATTAAGGTTCTATATTAACCTCAGTCCTGTCAAACAGTATCAGTAGCATTACTGTAAAGTTGCCGCTTGAACTTATTCACTACCATCAAACAGAACCTGGCATCCAGCTTAAAGGGACACATCAGCATTTAGTGAAATAGTCATGTTCAGATTAATACCATCATGTCTGTCAGCTAATTATGAAGCTACATCCAGCAGCTGATTAGCTTAACTTGGCGTAATGACTGGAAACCAGGGAACAAGCGAGCGTAGCTTTGCCAAAGGGTAACAAACTCCACCCACCAGCACCTGTAAAAAGCTCTAATGACCATGTTAGACCTTCTTTGTTTTATCTGGGGGTAGAGTATGTGCGTGTGCATCTATGTAGGGTCACCAACTTCCAGAAATGGAAATGAAGGACGGCCTCGTTATGAAAACTTTTCAAACACATTTGAGATGCAATCTTGGAATATTGAAATGTATGCGTTTAGGGCCACTGAACCGTGAAACACAGCCTCTGCAGATGCCTGGCCGACAAAGAACTTGAACAGTCCTCCCTCTCTCTGTGTCCTCGTCCTGGTCCCTTTGTGATTTTCTCCAGATACAAACTGTTTAATGTCACAAATTCCTCTGTGACTTACTGAGAAACCCCTCTGGTAGACGGTGCAGTACTGCTTATACACATTGTCATTCACACATTTTAGCCTTTGATATTAATTTTCCAATTCTCTTCTGTATTTTTTGCAACCTTTTTCCTAGTTTTTTTGCCAGCAGACTAGGCAGATAGGTCTCCATTTTTAAAATCCTGCACCACCTGTGTGCCGTTGTATTGCAGCAACATTGACAGTGCTTCTCATTGAGTCATGACCAGTGAGAAGCGCCTTCTCTGTTTGGGTAGTGGTAGTTCCACTGTGGAACATGACAGACGGGCTGAGCCGGGGACAGGAGGGTTTCCTTCCATCAAACACAAATCAATAATGGTCCAAACTTGATCTCTTTCCATAAGCTTTGCACTAAAAGGATTCTCAAAAATACAGAACAAAGCGTGTCCTGTATCGGTTCAATACAAAACAGTCCTTTTATTTTCCAATTACGGAGTGATTCTGTGATTTACAGGACGGTTGGAGGGGTGGCGATCCTGTGTGTGTGTGTGTGTGTGTGTTTGTGTGTGTGTGTGTGTGTGTGCGTGCGTGCGTGCACACAGTTCTTGGACTCTGCACAAACAGTTTCCAGTCTTTTTGCTGCTTTGTGGAACAAGTGCTTTACAGGAGAATTTATTGTTTTAAATTTTCATCAACTTTATTTATATAGCACATTTAACACAGCTGAAGCTGAACAAAGTGCTTAACACAATATCCACAACACCCCTTAAAAACAACATAAACGAACAGCAAAACAAAAACATCATACTTAACTCAACAAGACACAGGATCATACTGGTTCGAACGCCAGACGGTACAGATGAGTCTTCAAATAGGTTTTAAAAGTGGACAACGAGAGGGCCTGTCTAATATAAAGGGGCAATGCATAGGCGCCCCACAGAAAAAGCTCTGTCCCCCCCCTAGATCTCCGCCTAGCCCTCGGTACCTCCAAGAGCAGCTGGTCAGCCGATCTGAGGCACCGGGAGGGGCTATAGGGATGTAGCAATTCTGTAAGATAAAGGGGGGCCAAACCATTTAAAGATTTAAAAACAAATAAAAGAATCTTAAAATGGATTCTAAAACACACCGCCAGCCAATGCAGGGAAGCCAAAATGGGTGTGATGTGGTCACTTTTACGCACTCCAACCAGTAGACGAGCAGCAGCATTTTGGACTCTAATTTTTTAAATTTTAGTAGTGATGATTTCAGTGTGTTCACCAAGTTAATATCTGACATCTGGAACAGTTCAAGAAACACAAGTGTTTGTAATACAACTCAAGTTGTGATAAACTAGAACTATCCCAGATGTTGTTATTATCATGTTGCTGTTGTTGTTTCTCAGGAAATGGTGTCAGAGTCAGAGTTGGATTCAGGATTCAGAAACCTCTTCACTAAACTCGCCAGTGACGTGAGTTTGTCTCTTCATCTTTGTGTGTAAAAGACTCAACATGGAAACTCTGCTTTACTCTGAACTTCATAATTATTCACTGTACACTACAACACAGGGGTCAACGTGCAGTGGCACACAGGCTACGTGTTAACAGACATGAAAGTCATTGTTATCTCCAGCGCTAGACATGCGCATGATGACCTGCAGTGACACCAGGTGTGACATTTTTCTGTTTGTGTTTCAGGACGGGGAGATCTCTGCCTCGGAGCTGATGACCATCATGAATAGGGTCATTGCCAAACGTGCGTTCCTCTGAAGATCCGACACATTTAAGGTGAACGCAGGCAGCTGAAGGTTTAACTTCCTATTTGTTTTTAACAGGCACTGACATCAAAACTGACGGCTTCAGTATGGACACCTGCAAGACGATGGTCAACCTGATGGACGTATCCTTCAGACTCTGCAGCAGCTCTGTTCAGAGGCTTCTGTTCAGCGACAATGAAGCAGACTAAACGCGTTGTTTCCTGTCAGCAGCTAACAGGCTAAAGAGAAACTAGGCTAGCATTAGCTTGTGAGGTATTAAACAATAACATGGCAGCTGAATAACAATTGCACACCTATTGTGTAGTAATTGTGTTCTTCAAAACCAGTCACCAACAATTCAACCTCTCTGAGGTGGGATTCTCTGTGTGAATGTGCCAGCCCTATGCTGCACACCTGTCCAGGTGACCTGGGGTCGACGAGACATCTGTTGGGAGAAAACTACAGCACAACAAAGATGATTGTTTTATGGGTGAACTGCTGTAACTCTGCGCTCTGAAATCATCTTCGCCAGCCAACTGTGGGTTTGTCTGTTTCAGATCAAACATCTGCGCACAGCTTTTCAGGGGTTTACTGAAAATGAAGATAAGAATTTTGAATTACTCTATTTAATCTGACTCTTTCACAGACTTGAACTGAAAATCATTTTTCTGATAAAAAAAAATATAAAACATATTTTTACGTTGAGGCAGCACAAACCAAATGTGACTAAACACATTTGCACAGACACAAAGCTGAGACAGAAAGCTGCTGCAACAAGCTACATCTTAAAGAGCAGCTTCAGCATGATGTCACACCTGGTCTCTGCATGATCTTTAACTCTGCAGCAGGACAGTGGGAACGGGAAGCTCGGCCTCGTAGAGTTTGCCACACTGTGGAAGAAGGTTCAGAGTTACCTGGTGAGACAGGACCTCCTCTTTAACATCCAAATGCCTGGATTCATCTATTGAGTTTTACAAAAGTCTACAAATGTCTGTTTTCATGGGTTTGCAGTCGATCTATAAGAAGAACGACCTTGATAACTCGGGGACAATGAGCACTCCAGAGCTGAGAATTGCCTTAAAAGATGCAGGTCAGTTTTTATTTTTTCTTCTTCTGCACAGCTTTATATCAGATATTAGACTGATACTGACTGAACTCCTCAAACGAGTTCCTTACCGTTAGTTTTTCCTAATTGATTTGATCATAAATAGTTGGTAACCTCTTTGAAAGTCTTCCACCTGAGTCTTTAAGTTTCTCGGCCTTTGCTTATCATGAGGGTGAGTATGGCAGCAGCACTCATCTCCTCTGTTGTTGTGCCTCTGACCTCCTCACTGTCTGTTTCCTGTCAGTTTTAACTGTGGGTGCTTGTTAAAGTCTTCACTTTTTCCAATATGGTTTGCTTTCCCCAGCCTACGGCTGAGTGCGCTGCAGCAGAATCCGAGTACGTGGTTGGATTTCAGCACAGAGCTTGGTCAGGGTGAACTAATATACTTGTTTCTCTGGGTGAGGTCTCTCTGATCTGCTTGTTTCTTTTTCTCGTCACTACCTCTGCACAGTTTTTAAATTTTCTGTAAGGTAGAGAGCTGCTGTGGAGATGGAAAGGATCTAGCTACAGCGCCATTCCTTAAAATGTCTTTACAGACTGTTAGATGCGCGTGCACAAATCGCGTGACACACAAATCACGTTAGGCTTGCCTGCAAGGTGTGGACCTGAGATCCGCAAACATATGGTGCGTTTAATGACAATTTGAAAACTTGGACTTTTTTCTTTTCAGGCTTTTTTCCAGAAATAAAACCGCTTGTCACCTCGATTGGACTTTAACTGAATATGTACTTTAACGTGAAATATTCCAATGTCATGTAGCTTGATCTTGTAATGAGAACATTCCTGTGTTGTAGGCTAATATCATTTCACTATCAATATTTAAGATGATGCCAGTCCATAAGTTAGGCTACAGGTCCTCTGTTCACCTTAACTTGGGGGCGGCTGTGGCTCAGGAGGTAGAGCGGGTCATTTCCTAACCGGAGGATTAGCGGTTCAAGTCCTGGCTTGTCCAGTCCACATGTTGAAGTGTCTTTGAGCAAGACACTGAACCCCCATTTGCTCCCGGTGATAACACCGGTGCGTGAGTGCTTGGGAGTGCGAATGGGTGAATGGCCGAATAATGTGTGAAAGCGCTTTGAGTGTGCTGTAAAAAGCATAGAAAGGCGCTATACAAGTATAAGACCATTTACCTTGGGGTAATCTATGTGGTAATGGTGCTGCTAGCTTAGTAACCTGAGAGCTGCCAGCATTAGCTTTAACTTTCTGACAAACTGTCAGTTTAAGTAAATGGTCTTATACTTTATACAGCACTTTTCTATGCACTGCAGCACACTCAAAGCACTTTCGCACTATTTGGCCATTCACCCATTCGCACTCCCAAGCACTCACGCACCGGTGTTATCACCGGGAGCAAATGGGGGTTCAGTGTCTTGCTCAAAGACACTTCAACATGTGGACTGGACAAGCCAGGAATCAAACCACTAATCTTCCGGTTACGACCTGCTCTACCTCCTGAGCCACAGCCGCCCAATACGTGCGCCGTACCTTCATCTCCTCCATGAGCTGCAAGCATGTTGTTTCATATTGTAGGGGTCCCTCGAGAGTCTTTGTAAATTCGTACAAGCAGTGTCTGTAGCAGCGAGAGCAGTAAACTGTTTACTCCTGAAAGTTTTTCACTAAATGCCTGGTCAGATATTTCATCTTGTTTATGTCCTCTGTGATCAGATCTCTGTGTCTGTCCACATGTTCCTGGGAGAGGTTTTCTTTGTCTCTGTCTGCTGAAATTAAACTCCATCAGATCATCCCAGTTTCCAGAGAGGGTTCAACATGTTTGTATTTAAACCTGAGGGAGTCATGGTGACTCCCCCCTGACTCTCAGTTTAAAGCACCCCTCTGTTTACAGAGGGTGGTGGAAATGTTCCCACGGTGCTGTGCTCCTCCAGCCACAGGTTAGGGCTTATTATCACTGCTGTTCAACAGCAGCTGAGGTGATGTGTCAAGACTGAACAGTGAAGACTGATAATAAACAGCTTTTCCTTCTGTGGAGGACCTTTTATTTGCCTTCTGCTCACTAACATTTCTCTTCCATCACTAAAATGATGATGTTTGTGTGTTTCTCTCTGCTGCTGCTGTCTGGACTCTCTCCACCTCCACATGTCACTCTCAGTAAACTGATGATGATGATGATGATGGTATGTGGCATCCTGCTGCATCAGTTTGGGTTTGTTAGCAATAGCACTGTTAGCTTTAGCAGTAGCTGTACTGTCCTAGAAAGCTAAAATACAGCAGGAGGAGGGAAAAAAAGTAATAGTTCACTTTGCGAGATCTTGCAAACTGAATCATTGATTACTTTTCTCTTCCTGTGTCCCCTCCTGGGCTCCGTACATCAGCACTACTGTACAAAACAGCATGTACAGTTTTCAATAGCTATAAAATGGAGCTAAAAAACCCACAGTATACTTACTGTATGGATGTCTCACAAACTTAGGATCTTACTATGTGTATCTCTTCAATACTAATATGAATATTAGTATTACAAATATTTAATCAACAGACATTTAGCGAAACATTGAATTTACATTGAGCCAGCCGTAACAATAAAAGATGTTTGCCATAGCTGTCGCTCCGTTTGCTTTAACATCACTGTGTCAAGACATGTTCATGCTAATGTCATGAATCTGAAGACATTTACATGTAAACCTTTGTTTCTCTCATGTTTTCATATTTGTTTTCTAAGACTACAGCATTCAGATTGAAAACCCCAAACTCCAGAAAACAAGATGTTTTCAGATATTCTTACATTAGCATGATGATTTTTGCACAAAGCTGCTGCTCCACAGTAAAACCTTGTGTCCTCCTCCAGGTTTCACTCTCAACAACACCATCTACCAGCTGCTGGTGGCTCGATACGCCACCGACGACATGATCCTCGACTTTGACAACTTTGTGTGCTGTCTGATGAGGTTGGAGATGATGTTCAGTGAGTCAGTCATTTAGCTAACACACATTACAGCAAAGCTAATGGTTCTGTCAGACTCTCGCTTCCTTACCTGAGACCTGGAGAAGGCGTCAGTTAAATCAGTTTCAGGTGAAGTGAAGGTTTATTCTCCATGAGAAAGTTGGTATAATTACATACTTTTATACTATTTGATCATTTGGTGTGTAGCAAACAGTAAAAGGTGTCAAGTAATAAAAAGTCAAATTGAAAGCATATAGCAAGCCGATGAGCACTTTTTTCATCATGGATTGTTGCCTTCGTACGGCAGTCCAGGGGGTCAGTAGGCGATTTTCACCCCACTGTCTCATAAGTTAATACAATCAGGGAAAAAATTATTTGAACCCCAGCTGATTTTGTAAGTTTGCCCACTAACAAAGAAATGATCAGTCTACAATGTCAATGGTAGGTTTTTGTGAACAGTGAGAGACACAACAGTAACAAAAAAATCCAGAAAAATGCATTACAAAAAAGTTATACATTAATTTGCATTTTCATGAATGAAATAAGTATTTGATCCCCTATCAGTCAGCAAGATCTCTGGCTCCCAGGTGTATTTCGTTACCTGTATAAAAGAGACCTGTCCACAGAAGCAATCAATCAATCCAGATTCCAAACTCTTCACCATGGCCAAGACCAAAGAGCTTTCCAAGGATGTCAGGGACAAGATTGTGGACCTACACAAGGCTGGAATGGGCTACAAGACCATCGCCAAGCAGCTGGGTGAGAAGGTGACAACAGTTGGTGCGATTATTCGCAAATGGAAGAAACATAAATTAACTGCCAATCTCCCTCGGTCTGGAGCTCCGTGCAAGATCTCACCTTGTGGAGTTTCAATGATAATGAGAACGGTGAGGAATCAGCCCAGAACTACTCGGGAGGAACTTGTCAATGATCTCAAAGCAGCTGGGACCATAGTCACCAAAAAAACAGTTGGTAACACGACTACACCGTGAAGGACTGAAATCCTGCTGTGCCCGCAAGGTCCCCCTGCTCAAGAAAGCACATCTACTGGCCCGTTTGAAGTTTGCCACTGAACATCTGACTGATTCAGAGGAAGACTGGGTAAAAGTGTTGTGGTGCGATGAGACCAAAATCGAGTTCTTTGGCATCAACTCAACTCACCGTGTTTGGAGGAGGAGGAATGCTGCCTATGACTCCAAAAACACTGTCCCCACCATCAAATATGGAGGTGGAAACATTATGCTTTGGGGGTGTTTTTCTGCCAAGGGGACAGGACAATTGCACTGCATCAAAGGGAGGATGGATGGGGCCATGTACCGTCAAATCTTGGGTGAGAACCTCCTTCCCTCAGTCAGGGCATTGAAAATGGGTCGTGGTTGGGTATTCCAGCATGACAATGATCCAAAACACACGGCCAAGGCAACAAAGGATTGGCTCAAGAAGAAGCATATTAAGGTCATGGAGGGGCCTCGTCAGTCTCCAGACCTTAATCCCATAGAAAATCTGTGGAGGGAGCTGAAGGTTCAAGTTGCCAAACATCAGTCACAAAACATTAATGACTTGGAGAGGAATCTGCAAAGAGGAGTGGGGAAACGTCTGACCTCTGTGATTGCCAACAAAGGTTTTGCCACCAAGTACTAAAGCACATTTTGCAAAGGGATCAAATACTTATTTCATTCATGAAAATGCAAATTAATGTATAACTTTTTTTGTAATGCATTTTTCTGGATTTTTTTTGTTATTGTTGTGTCTCTCACTGTTCACATAAACCTACCACTGACATTGTAGACTGATCATTTCTTTGTTAGTGGGCAAATTTACAAAATCAGCTGGGGTTCAAAAAATTTTTTCCCTGACTGTAGCTCCAGGTAGTCAGCCTCAGGTGTCTCTTCTGCTGATGTTGACTGAATCTGTCAGACTTTAAATGTGCCCGAGAAACTCTGATGTGTGATCCATCCTCCTCTTCAGAGATCTTTATGAAGCTCGACATGAACAACAGCGGCTCCATCGAGCTCAACTTTAACCAGGTGAGAACAAAATGCATTGACCAGCTGAGGAACCAGAACCTGGTCCAGCGCTAACAGGTGGGTCAGCAGAACAAATCTACAGCTCATATGAAATTTGTTCATGTATTCCCCATGTCTGTCTGCAGTGGATAAACTTCAGCATGATCTGAGCTGTGGCTGCGTGTTTGTCTGGAGCTCCAGTGAATCAGCAGCACACCATATTCCTGTTTATAGCATCTTGTCATCACTTTTAATGTTTTACATGTGAGAGTTCTGTTTCATTATGTATACACTACCTGATGAGAGTCAATGTAGTCAATAAATCTATCCACAGAACTTTATCTGTTACTGTGAGTTTTGATTGCTAAATTAACAGTCCAGCATTTTAGAATTTTAGTGTTCATGGTTCAGTTCAAGGGTAGGTCCAGGACGCGTTTAGCACATTTTAGCACAAAGATTGGAAGCAGGAAAACTGCTAGTCTAGCTGCTCAGGAGACAAAAGACAACTGAGACAAAACAACTCAGAGGTCACTGTACTCTCTTTAAAACACAATAATCACAAAAATCTGGGTGGAGAATGATAATGATCAAAAATGGGCAATGGGGAGGTGTTAGCTAGCTCTATCAAAAATATAAAGCTGCTAACAGCTGCATAATCAGCTCTATATCAGGTGTTTATAGCCAGTGTATTACTGAGCTTTCATATTTGACAATGTGCTAGATGCTTCTAGCTAACTGAGGATATGGAAGCCACAAACAGCATTTTCAGTGGTGTAGCTAACCAGAACCTGTTTAGCATAACTTAGCACAAATACCGAAAGCAGGGGGGAACTTAGCTAGCTCCATCAAAGGAGAAATATAGCCTCCTAAACGGCTCTAAGTCTGATAACGTGTCATATGTTAGCTGCCAAACTAGTCATCAGTATTTCCTGGAATCAAATGGGTTTAGTTATGGCATTTTTAGGTCTTCTTTCTGTCCGCCCGTCTCTTATTCTAGTTGTATTGAATGTATATGTATAGTTATATATTTATAAAAATTGTAATTTTTATTAGGATAGACTTTCATATCAAGTCTGTGTTGTAACTGGGGGTTAGTCATGTGTCGTTCCCATCACTACTGGGGGTGTGGTTGGTCTCTTTAATCGCTCACTGTGGCAGTGGCGATGTAGCTCCGCCCCTCCCGTCGGGCGGAGCTTGGTACTGCAGGAAAAACATCCAGATCTGCGTCCAGAGGACAGTAGTACCACGGCGCGCAATCACTGCATTCTGTACAATACCGGCAGCACCCAGAGGCTGAGCCACACCCGGTGAGTCTGACGGTTTGTTTGACTGTGGTCTGAACTGGTGTGTACTGGTCTCTCTGGTCTGCATGGTGCATGTGATTCTGTAAAACGTCTCTGAACCGTGTGTTTATTGATATTCTGCAGGAACACGTGAGTCTGACCTGCAGTTTTCACGGTTTTTACGTCGATTCAGCAGAAACTGGACTGATGACATCATCGTTTTTATTAACCAATTGGAGCAGCCCTGTAGCGTCACGCTCCTGAAATTAATTAGCGGCTAATAGCACAATAACAACTACAATAATAAAAATAAATAAATAAAAACATCTGTAAACCCACAGAGCGCAGTAGACAAGGAAGAAACAGCAGGACATAAACCAAGTACAGAATAGTAACAGTGTTTTTAACGTAATTTTTAAATAAAAAAGACTAAATTCCTGGATATGAGCTTCTCAAAGGTGACCTAAAGAGTCTGACGCTTTAACTGGGGCGTCAGTGCAGACTGGTTTGGTTCCAGTTACACTGTAGTCTCATTCAACTGGTAAATAATGGGCTTGTAAAATAAAGCTGAGTTTGGATAATCTTTCCTGCCAGTGATATGTGCATTTGGTTGTGAGTGTAACTGGAATCAGACCAGTCAGCACTCACATCCCAGTGTGATGTTTTGGAGGAGCTTCAGAGAAAACACCCCATTTCAGAGTGATGGTTTAGCTCATGTCTTCTCAGTCTGTCACATCCATCTGATGAGAAGAAACTAAGTTGTTGCTGCAGCGTTCAAACATCGGACACAAAATCATCACTGGTTTTCAGTATTGATTCATCGATTGACACTGTAGGTTGACAGCATCAGTCATGATGCTATAAAATGTGAAGAGCTATAATGAATGCTATAACGAACATAACACTTTGTTTTATGGATTTCCAAGAATGTTTTAGTATTGTACTAACTATTGTAAAAATACAGAGTTTAATGGGTACACTTCCAGTAAATTTATTTGCTACAATTAGTTGGTGTTGTGACCCAGAACACAGAGGTCAGCTTAAACGTAAACAGTTCTACAGATGAGGAGAATAAAGTTTCAAAATTTAATGAATGAGTGAACATTTAGTTACTAAAATTACTTTCTTTGCTTTTTTTGTGTTTGTTGTGTCTTGTTGCTTTTCTTCTTTTGTCTCTCCTCTATCCACTCACCCCAACCGGTCGAGGCAGAAGGCCGCCCACCAAGAGCCGGGGTCTGTCAGAGGTTTCTTCCGTTAAAGGGAGTTTTTCCTCCCCACTGTCGCCAAGTGCTGCTCAGGGGGGATTTGTTGTTTTTGTCCTCTATAATAATAATATTAACAGTAAGGTCTAGACCTGACTGTGTAAAGTGCCCTGAGATCACTGTTTTTGTTAATTGGTGGCCAGGCAGCCACTGACAGCACTACCATCAGTAAGACATTTCCTCACAGGGATTAATAAAGTATTTGTAAAAAATGGAACTATATAAATAAAATTGAGCCAAATAATTGATAATCAAAATAGTTTCAGATTAATGTTCTGTCAGACTAGTTTCAGCTCTACAGTGTCTCAGTAAATCTGCACCAGACATTGGAATAAAAACAGCCAAAGTAGGAACCAGGTGGTAGAAAAACCTGGTTTGGCCATGTTGTAGTAACGTGAGCGGCCCCCGTAAACTGTAAGTGTAACTAACCAGACGTCTGTTTCCTCTCAGCCTCCTACGGGATCATCAGTCGGAGACCAGGTACAAGTTATTGTTTCTCTTTATAATGTGTAAGACTAAACACAGACCCAGGTTACAGCAACACAGGGACATGTGCTGGTGTGTTTACACTGAAGTCTGATCCAGTCTGAGTCAGAGATCAGTGAGTGTAAAGGTTTATCAGACACAAAACTGGACCAGGTTCATTACCTCAGAACCTTGTTTGGTTTCTTAAAGACTAGCAGTAGTGCTAGTTGAGGCTGTGCCTAGACACAGCGGCATACTGGAGAAGGGTCCAACTGCAGGCCTCACATCTGGGCCACCAACTCTGAGAACTCAGTCTGAGAGCCTGGGTCTGTGAAACCGGGTCTACGAGCCAATGGGAAGACAGGCGTGAGATGTGTCACTTCTGTTAATTATCTGTTTTATGCCTCTGTGCCAGTGATAGCCGCGGTCAAAGGCATTACATTTTCAGGCTGTGTGTCCGTCCCTTTGGCCCATTCTTGTGAATGTGATATGTCAGGAACACCTTCACACGGAATTTCTTCAAATTTGGCACAAACATCCACTGGGACTTAAAGAGCCCACAGTGAATTATCATCTTAGACGTGACCTAAAGATCAAAAAATAAGGTGTACGTATGTTGTAGTATTTTTTGCAGAAGCAACTCGGTTTATACACGTCTTGCAAACTCTCGCTCATGAGACCTTTTTTCTAACAAAATAAAGTATTAAGTGATAGTTTAAGGATTTCTTTGAATGATCATAAAATCCAGGCCAGTGCGTGTTCATGTCAGCTTGCCTGACATCCACTGGTGCCCCCACCTTATTGGCAAAATGTTATACTTCCTTGTTTATGTGTATTTTCAATAAAGCCTATTTTAAAAAAGACATCCAGCGGTTTTGCATCCGGGTTTGTAGATATATTTTCCCTCCTGCTGCTGCACTGTGACCAGAGGATGTGGGGTAAAATCCAGGGCCTGAGGTTACTTCATGTCTGGGAATGTTCCTGTACAGGGACTCGCTGTTTTACCTGACCTGGTCTAACGTACAAGCAGTCCGCCTGTGAAGCCCCTGAGGCGGTTAATGATCAGCCATCAATGCTGGATTCCCCTGGGAGCACAGTACCTGTTTGTTCTGACTGCTTGAGGCCAGTGTGTCTGCAGCATGTGACATGTTGCTGGTTAACCAGCAGATTAATGACCCATGATGTTATTGTCGGTGCTACGCTACCTGTTGGAATTAATTTCACTACTTTGGGACTGTATGTGGTGACGCAACGACCACTGGTTGGATTTACCGACCTTGGAGCCACTTGAAAGGGAGTCCCACTACTTGGTGGGACTAAAAGGTAAGTTTAATAAACACGCTGTGTGTCTGTTAATACCTTGTTTCTGTAATGTTTGAGAGAATTGTACAGCTGGAGAAGTTACTATGTCTGTATTATGCCAGTTAAAATATGGGGTTTCTCAGTTACCTGATTTGTTTAGAGTGTTACACATCTCTTTTCATCGATACATATACTGCTGTTTACCTATTTATGGAGGAGATGTTCACATTAATTAATGCCATCGTGGTTCACTGTGCTGTGCACTTACAACACAACACTGGCAGCAGGAGTTGTGTGCATTCACAAACTCTTCTCCTTTTTAGGAAGAGGCTCTGTGGTTCTATGATTCTGAAATAATTAGACTATTTGGAGTTATGAAGCCCCGTGACCCCGTTCAGGGCTTAAGCGGTAGAAAATGAATGAATGAATGGAGTTATGAGGGCCAAGCTAATTTAGAGGTACCCAAGATTAAACATTAAATGGCTGGAAACAAGCTCTTTAAGGATAAACGCATTATATTTTGGTAGTCAAAGGTCAAGGTCACTGTTACCTTGTGTTTGTCCGTTCTTGTGAATGGTTGGTGGAGGCATATAATCGTAAAGCAGCAATTCTAGTTCTTCTTTTATTTAACCAGATGTGAAAATTCAACTTGCTCAGCTGTAGACTTAAAGAAGTGTGAACCTGATGTTTATCCCATTTATCTCATTGTTGTGCGTTTGGTATAAAAGTCAAGAATTGTTACTTGAAGGTTAACCTGAAGTGACACGCCTCACTGAAGTTTCTTCCCACTGGTTCACACTGTCCCCAGACAGGAGGTGTGTAGCTAGATTGCCTGTGCTCTAAGCTAAATGCAAACACCATCATACTACCTTTCTTACAGTGGTGTACAGGTGTACACTTGTTTATTTTAAATGGACTGTATTTATATAGCGCATTTTTCCACAGTGTGTTACACTGGCCAAAGCGCTTTACAGGAGATAATACACCCATTCACACACAACATTCACGCACCGATGACCACAGGCTGCCACACAACGGCGATAGTCAAGCTACCGGGAGCAATTTGGGGTTTGGTGTCTTGCTCGGGGACACTTAGGCATGTGGGGAGACCGGGAGTCGAACCAACTTGCTGGTCAGGAGACGACTGCTCCACCTCGTGAGCCACAGCCACCCTCTATTTTAGCATATTAGCAGTCTTGGACAAAAGTTGACCTAATGATGGCCCTAGATGAAAAGTCGGAGCATCACTAAAGTTATTATGGTTGATGCTGATTCCAGAGGGGAACATGAACCTCTGAACCAGAACCAGAACAGTCCATCCAGTAGTTGAGAGGGTTCAGTCTGGACCGACGGGCCGACATTAGACCCACAGAGACTGGTGCTAGCACGAATACCCCATGAGCTTCTGTCGCTAATCAGGTTTTCTGATGTGTTGTGGGTCAGAATGTTTGGAGGTGTGTCCGAGCGGATTCAAAAGGACCGGCAGAGGGCTGGAGGTCTGGGCTCGGTCCAGCAGGCTGTTCGCTATCTGGACCAGGACTTCCAGGCCCTGAAGGAGGACTGTCTGGAAAATGGATCCCTATTTGAGGACCCAATGTTCCCAGCAGAACCACCCTCACTGGGCTTCAAGGAACTTGGACCTTTCACTGCCAAAACCAAGGGGGTAGAGTGGAAGAGACCCACGGTGAGACCCAGAACCTTTCTGCTGTAGACCCTGATGGGACACAGGGCCAGTGTGAGGACCACTATTACTGTGAACCTTATCACAGTACATTTACAGTTTACAGTGGTGCTGGTGGCAGATTCAGAGCCAAAATTCGTACTTCATAGTATTTGTAATCTTTTACAAAGCAGTGGTCCTTGATTTCAGACCACATTAAACTAACACCTAATGCAGCTTTAGTCCAGAGTCATCAGTCAGTTTCTGGTGTTTGAAAGTGTCCTCATCCCCTTTAGGTCTCCACCTGCACACATCTGTCACCTTTCATCTCACACTGTGTCTCACCTGCCTCCCCCCACAGCCCCCTTAGCTCCACCTCACCCCCTGAGGAGACACCTCACTGTTTAACTGTGATGTAATGTGATGTCAGACAGATGGGTATTTGTGATTGGCTGTTTCAGGAGCTGACAGGTGACCCTCAGTTCATCGTGGGTGGAGCCACCAGGACCGACATCTGTCAGGGGGTACTGGGTGAGTCTGTCAGTATCCTTCCTGTCAAAGTCGAGTCCAATTTATAAGCACTTTTAAAAACAACAGTGGACCCGAGTGCTGCACAGAAATTAACAGAAGGGAATAAAACAAAATAAGACATACAAGCTCCTCAGTTTGATTTAAGGTAAATAAATGTTTTTACCTGGGACAGTGTGGGTGTAGATCTAATTCAGGGGGTAGACTATTCCATAACTTCGGGGCAGCTATTTCAGATAATAAATTCAACACATTTGGGTTTTTCACAGAGGAAACAAGATGTCAAGAGTACGTGAACTTTGGCTGGATGAAAGAAAAGAACTGCGGACTGATCATGAAAGCAGTCGTTTTTGGCAGCCTTACTGTTCCGCTGTGATGAAGCTTCTCTGTCTGGTAGTCATGATTTCACACGGTCCCCCCTCAGCACTGGGGCTACAGCTTGGAGGACGGGAGGAGGTCAGAGAGAATGTTCTAACAGCAGAATCAGATCATGTGGACGGAACTGACATGGGGGAAACACATGGTCTTGATCGTTGGTCAGCGTCAGTGCGTGATTGAACTTCCCTGACGACTGTTGCTAGAAGACCAACTACTGGGGGTTAGGTGTTAGAAGCAGGGGTATCATGAATTCTTCTACAGCGCAAATGTTATTTGTACACACCCAGTGGTCAGTTTATTAGGAACACCTTGGTAAATATGAGTCTGACCCAACAGTCCTGCAGTAAATCCTTCAGCTTGTGTTCAGACTGTTTCACAGAGGTGTTAATTCACCTGTGTGATCGCTGTGGAGGCTGCAGGTTGTGCTGCTGTTCAACTGGTAACAGTAATAACTGTTCTGTTATTCCACCCCATTTATATCAATGAGTATTTGACTTGTTAGTTTTAGTGAGGTGTGTACCTAATAAAGTGGACACAAGCGTGTCCTGGCCAAGACCGGCAGATAAACAGTAACAGTGATCAAACAACTTCATAAACAACATGTCTCCTCTGTTGGTCACCGTTCAGTTAGAGGGTCGGACAGCCCCGCCTCTGCCTCACCATGAATATCAGGGAACAGTCGGAGTCTGTGTGTTTCAGGATGACGTCCTGCTGTGTGACTCCTGAGATTCTGCTGGTCCAGGATCAGCTGCAGATGAAGTTTAGATACTGGAAAGTGCTGGTTGGTTTATGTTTCTAATGAGAAATAGAGCTCTGTGATTGGATCGGGCATGGGTGGAACCACTTCTGTCAGAGTGTGTCAGTGGTTTCGGTTTCCCAAGATTCAACAGAGAGAGAGCCCCCACCTGTTGACACAGTGTCCTTCTCTCTGTAGGGCGTGTGTGTGTTTAAACATTGTAGTGGGGACGTGTTGACGGGCCCTCGCTGGTCTGTTCAGGGCCAGGCTGACAGTGTGTGTTGTGATGGATGCAACCTGGGCATGATGACTGGTAGGACCACCATGGACCTAGTCTGTCTCTGTCTGGGTCAGTTAGTGACAGGTGACATCACCTGTGTGTAATCATTGGCATGTACAATAAACAAACATCTTTACCTGCAGCTGGCCTTATTCTCTCAGTGGCTGTGCAGTCCATCAGGATCAGCAGACTTGGCGCCGTTTACTCCTGGTTTTAGCACAAACGTCTCAGAGACACAGTCCGGGAGCTGGTTCTGGTACACTGCGACAGTCAGGGTTCTGTGTGTCTGGAGGTTTCCGCTCCTTCCTGTCAGTCACGCACGTTGTAGACTTCAGTCTGCAGGTTTGTCCTGAGGTGCAGGGTTAGGTGTGGTTTGTTTGTTTCGATTGCACATGAACATACATTGCTGTAAATGTGAGTTCACAAAGCTTCATCTGTGGTCCATGGACTGATGTTACACAGTCAGCCTAAAACCAGAAGTAATTGGGATGGTTTAAAATCCTGCAGAGCAGCAATTAAAGAGAAACCTTATATTAGTAAAAGAGGACATGCAGGTGATGCTTGAAGTCAGCAGCAAAAGAGGCATTATGTCAGTGAGGGTCCTCACAAAGATAGAAAGTGTGAGTGAGTGTGGCTGATCTCCAACCAGCAGCAAGGTGGAGTCCTCGCTCACTGTGTAGTTGTAAACACAGCAGGACAGGAATGCTCCTTATGCCCCCCTTCCCCCACCAGCTGTGGATACACCCTCAGTGTTCGAGAGCACCGCAGGTTCAGACTCGAATGAACAGATTCAGCAGCTCACCTTGGCTCTGATGAGCCGAATAATCAAAGGTCCACTTACAGAAAATAAAAGAAGATGAAGACCATTACAGACAGCCTTTGTAACCACAGACCGTGTATAAACAATATAGAAAGAATTTATCTTTGTAAACGCTCTGCTGCATAAATTGCTTAGCTGGCGTCCACCGCTGCATCAGAGGTATCGGTCTAAATGTACAATGTCTGTGGAAGACCACTAGTTCTCAGATGTTCTGTAACTGGTGAATATATATGAAATACAGAGAATAGATGCATAATTCATATAATCTGGTATAATGGGAGACAAACATATACTGAACAATATAAAAACATTTGATAAAACTAGTACAGAAGTAAACACGATGAAATAGATATTTACCCATGTCCTCTCTGAACATTTATGAGCCGCACCTGAAGGCAGCACTCAGCTCATCACTTCTGACCTTTTATTGATTAGTTATTGATCAGAGAATGGGCTTTTCTGCTGAATGGAAACTCCATTAGCAGGAAGCACTAGCAGCTTAATGTTGTTGTTGATGCCGTTGTTTAGCTTAGCTTTAGGGTGTCCCTACAGACCAAGATCAGGATAATGGAGATAATGTTCAGTCTGCGCATTAACAAGCAGCTGCTGCACAAACATTTCCTGTCAGAACATGAGCCCTGGTCATTTCCTCCACTCATCATCATCATCATCATGTCAGGGTCTGACAGGAGTGTGCCCATTTGACTGGTGGTTTTTTATGTGTTTAGATCACGATTACAAGAAGACTCTGTTATGTATGTGGAGATAATGGTCAAATGATCTTTTTGACTCTTGATGTTTAATATTTCAGCTGAAGCATTAGGTCTGGAGCATCAGTCAGCATGTGAGTGTCAGAAGTTAATTTTGAGGGCTGAAAGGAGTTGAAGTGTCAGTTCTCTGTATCTGAATGAGCTCTGGTTGTTTTACAGGAGACTGTTGGCTGCTCGCTGCTATCGGCTCTCTGACTCTGAACGAACGGCTGCTGCATCGTGTTGTTCCTCACGGTCAGAGCTTCACCCACCAATATGCAGGCATCTTCCACTTCCAGGTGAGTCTCCACCTGTTTACACCTGACAGAGACCACACCCACTTACTTGTGTCATAATACCTTTGAGTGAAAGTCGTCATGAAAACTGATGTAGAAAACAGCAGTGACATTAATAACTACCCAAAGGCCACTAGATGGCACTGATGAATGTTATTTTACTGGTTGTTTCTGTCGATACTGATTATTTGTGTTGAATATCAGTTTTTAAACTACAGCACAGTCATTTATCAGACACCTTTGTCTGAAGCCACTTACAGTAAGTGCATGCAAACCACACACAAGCTTAGAGCTGTGAGCGTGTCCTTTGAAATGTCTGACTAAAATCTTTAGGTACAGTACAGCCACTTACAGGGTTTTGGTTTTTAGGAGTTGTTGAGCTGTACAGTCAACAGGTGTTTTTATCCTGCACTAGAAGGTGTTCAGTGACTGCTGTCCTGACTCCAGCTCAGTCCTCCACTGTGGATCTGGAACATAGAAGGGTCCTCTGGGTGCAGGGTTTGAACAGTTAGGCCCTGTAGACCAGCACCAGAGCCTGATCTGGATCTTGTGGGGAGTTGAATAGAGGAAGGCTGAAAGCCAGATGGGCAGCGTTCTGGATCAGATGTCTGATGGTCTTTTAAAGGCTGGTCCTTTTTATATTAATTTTCAGAGAGCTCCATACAGAGACTAAATCCAGCAATAGATTGCCTCTGCTCATGGTTATTGTCTGTCAGTCCAGGATTAGCTTGTTTGCCTGTGTGATGGACCTCTGGTGTTGTTCAAAAACTACACACCGCTGCACTGGGTGACATGTTTTTTCACAGCGAAGCCCCAGACCCGACTATGTTGCCCTAAAAGCTCAGAGTGGCCATAATTTCCTTTAGTTAGCATGAGTCAGAGTCGACTGCGCATACACGAGTATGTAAGTAAGTACTATGTGCCCCAGTGCAGCAGTGTGTTTCACTGATGTGTTTTTAATCATTTTTGAATAACAAACAGACAAATAAGCTGATCCAGGACTGACAGACTGCTGGGCATTAACCATGAGTAGAGGCAATTCATTATCGGTTTTAGTCTCTGTAAGGGGAGTGTTGAAAATACTGCGAATATGGAAAATGACCAGCCTTATTCTTTAAGGGTAGAGGCTCTGATGAGTGTCTCTACTTTCATGTTTTCCTGTACATGCATGGTCTTATGGAGTGTTTGTCTGAACATGAATTAAAGATGTATATCAAGCATGCATTTTTGTTCTTCTTTGTCTCTGCAGTTCTGGCAGTTTGGGGTGGATGTGGTGGTCGCCGCCCGGCTGCCGGTCAAAGATGGAGAGCTGATGTTTGTCCACTCGGCTGAAGGCAGCGAGTACTGGAGCGCCCTGCTGGAGAAGGCCTACGCCAAGTAAGAGCCTCCCAGTACAAGTGCATTATTATTTCAGAATCGGAAAACTATCATACAAGATTTGTTGTGTCACACCATACATACACTCAATTGACATCCCTTACTCACATTCATCTAATTAAAAACGTGTCTAAGTTAAAGCGAACCTTAATAAAAATGGACAACATAAGAGCAAATACCGATATCAGTAAATGGCCGATTCTGTCAGATTTCCACACATAATAAGTGGCTCTTATTGATCAGGGTAATGGAAGCATGAAAGAGAGTTCAGTTCAGCAACAGCCTTTGGAAAGAAGCTGTCTTTCAGCCTGTTAGCACATGCTTTGATGGCCCTGTAGCACCAAATGGAGGGCAACAGTGAAAAGAGCTGATGGGAGGAGAGTGTACTGTCCTCAAGGATATTGTTAGCTCTGTGTAAACAGCACGTTCTGAAGATCAAAATCAGAATCAGCTTTATTGGCTCAATACATGAGCAGCGCCCAGAAAGGAATTGGTAGTAACACCAGAGGAGCAAAGCACCAGCTACTGGTTGATAAAGTAGTCACTCGAGACTGCAAGACTAGGCACACCAACCTGTGCACTGCCTGGATTGACTACAAGAAAGCCTATGACTCAATGCCTCACACATGGATCCTGGAATGCTTGGAACTGTACAACATCGACAGGACTCTAAGAGCCTTCATCAAGAACTCAATGGGAATGTGGAAAACAACCCTAGAGGCCAACTTCAAGCCAATTGCACAAGTCAACATCAAGTGCGGTATCTACCAAGGAGATGCTCTGTCCCC